ACAGACAGACAGACAGACAGACAGACAGACAGGCAGACAGACAGACAGACAGACAGACAGAAACATATTCCTGCAGGCATACTCACATAGACGGACATACAACACTCGCCACACAGGCTCACACTTGCCCCCAGGCGCGCATCAGCACACTCTTACCTAATTCTTTTTGTCCTGCCCTTTCCAGACATTGACATTTCTTGTTTCTAGCTATTCCGTTTCTTTGTCCACCTCCTTGTCTTCTTTTCCATCATGGTAAATCTATTCCCGTGGGCTACTCGTAATATCGGCGTCTTTGGCTGGCGGGTGCTCTGGTGTGGTTTGCCCAGACTTCATTCCTAGCAAACACCTATCGTCCTGATCTCTCCTCCTTTTTAATGTGTTTGGTACTTTCTTGTAACACTTCTAATCTTCGGCGCTCTTATGACCTTGGTGTGTTGCAAGTGCCGCAAAACGCTTATTAAAACCAACACCACCACCCCCCCCCACCCCCGTGGGCTACTCGTAACACCGTCGTTTGTGTTGTAGCCTTTGAACGCCTCGCTGTTGCATGCAAAAAACATGATCTTGTTCGGGGGAAATTTTTTTATCGAGTATCTCTGTCTTCTTGCTTGAATATTGTATCCCTCTCAGCCCGGATCCGCCGTGAGTGGTTGGAGGACCCCACTTCTATGTCCTACTTCTTTACTTTCTTATTGTGTAGATGTGCTTCTCTTTGCTCAAGCCTCAAAGCACCCCGCCTACTTAACGATGTTGATTTTTAATTTATTTTTAAAATTTAAAAATTCTAGTCTTTCTTTCCGGCTTTTTTTTGGGGTGTGTGAGTGGGGTTGATTTACAAGTACTACCGGTACCCATAATATGGCGTTTGTATTGTCACACATACACGGGTACTCAACAACACGCTCTTGTGCATATTATATTATATACCGACCCTTTTGGTTTCTTTCTCTTTCTCTCTGACTCTCTCTCTCTCTCTCTCTCCCCTCTCTCTCCCCTCTCTCTCTCTCTGTCTCTCTGTCTCTATTTTTTTTCTCTCTCTTTCCCTCTCTCATTTTTTTCTCTGCTGTGATTTGCTCGGACTTCATACCTAGCAAACATCTATCGTCCTGATCTCTCCTCCTTTTTTATG